AGTACTTTGAATTCTGAATATAACTTTTCCTTTAACAAGCCTCACCCCCACAATGCTTATAGGTGGACCAGTTTAGATGTGAGCGGCTGAAATGTTCCACCAGTTCTGCCTGCATGGTCCATCCGCTGGTTTCTAATCCTCAGACTGTGACAGTCAGCATCAGGTGGACCGAGACTCGCTGCGTTTGATCCGACCGGATTCAGTTTAATCTGTTGAGCTTAAAATCAACCGGACCTGATTTAACCCTTTATAGAGCAAGTTACCGTTTTTTTTTCCACTTGCATTCTCCTTACAAATGGAGTCAAGTTACAAAGGAAATAAGGTCTGGTCCTGGATTCCAGTAACACTATTGGCTGGAAAGTTGGATTTTCAAAGGATTTCACTAAGTGCCCTTTAAAGGGTTAAAAACAGGTGCTGTAGCTCTAAGCTAACCTGAACTGGACTCTACAGCTTCCTCCTGTCCTGCTCGGTCCTAGAGATGCTGAGTGAATCCTTTCCTTTTTCTATAGAACATGGATGAACTAAGTTAAGTTAATAAATAAATCACCTCCTGTTTCAGTTTATGAAGCCGGGATCAACAGCTGAGTTCACAGAGTTTGTTTCCTCATTCAAGGGCTGCCCCCGCCCCCCCTCACCCCCCCTCAGGGAGGAATGTCACTCGATCCCTGAAACAGTTGGGAAAGTGTTGAAACCTAGAGAACCGGCTGGGGGAGGGGCTGGAGCCCAACCACTGATGTCATGATTCCTGTTTGGATCAATCACACTTTATTAATAAAGCGCAGTTTGTTACAAACTAAACAAAGTTTAATCCGGGTTCATAAAACGGAGATAAAAATATGACATAAGCAATGAACGGGGCTCACTGGAGGATAGTTACTTTTCAGGCTCCCGGCCACTGATCTCAATTTATCCTCTGGATTGCTGCAGTTGGTAGGACCAGCCGCCATATTGGTACTCCCTAGTTAGAGCGATCGCAATGTAATTTATAAAGATAAATTCATCACTTTGACACTGGTTCATAGCATCAGAGA